CTTGCCTGGGAAAAAAAAAAAAAAAAAAAAAAAAAAAAGGATGTTTCGCTTCTCTCACAGAAGCTTCGTCAGCGGTAGACAACTCTGAAGTCTGAAGGACGACTGATGGAACCCTTTTTACGATGGAACTTTCCTGTACGACTGAGAGCCTCCACAAGCATCTTGTAGTCCTAAAGTTAATAACATTCTTATTTGCTGCACAGTGGAGGGAAGAGGGGCAAGAGGATTTGGCCTGGTAATACTGTACACAAATCTTTCTTTTCAAACACCATACATATTGTGTGGATTATATGTCATCACTGAATCATTATACATCACTGTCAATGTTATTATACTTCCCATTTATTTATATATTTGGGAATTATGACGAGGAACGGTTATCTATCGTCATTTTTTTCGATAAAAATCTAATGTGGTTTTAAAAAAATAAATAAAAAATTGAATCAGCGTCAAAAATGTGTTACGGGACACAAAGGCATCTCTGATTAAAATTTGCTGTTGACCAGTGTTATTTTTATTTCTCTTATTTCCCAAGGGAACAATTGTTACCAAATGCAAATCAAACACGTCAGCGGGTCTGACCGGGCCGAGACGAAATGGGACCCTGTTTATGAACAGTGTCTAAAATAAGAGCGATTCATGAAAAATTCATTGTGTTGGTAAAAGGAGGCAAAGAAACATTGTGTCAATTAAAGGCTGACGTTTATATACTCCAGAGTGATAAGCGCACAAAGAGGCCTGTGGTCTGTGGCGGGTCGGCGCGGTCCTTAAGTTGACATTACACTCGCTCGTATTGTAAATAACACTGCGATTTGCTGCAGGCCGCCTTTTTTAGTGTTTTACCAGTGATCATCTGAATGTTCTGGCTATTTTATTTTTAGGTCTTAAATATTATCCATTGCATAGATAACACATTGTTTCGGGGAATACCAGACTTTGCGTCTCTGCAATGCATTAATATGAATGCAAAATGTGAAACCGTTGATTCAATCTATTATTAAAAAAATCAATTATAAATTTCAAAAATACATATCAACTGTTCTCTATCACTCAAAAAATACCATGTTCCAGTTTGTCACGGTGCATGATCCACGTAAGATAATAAACACCATCTCACCATCACCATCATGAATATAAAAAAAAAAATCTGATTAGCTTATTTGGACTCTGTTGCTAACCAAAATAGCAGCAACAAACAACCTTGAAGACAAATTTAAATGCGGACGCATCTGCACACTGAAAAAAATGGTGATTGAATTTACTCAATTTCATGTTGTCAAGTAATTGCACAAAAACAATGTCTCGATCCAGACACATATTTTTGAAGTAGAACGATATCGTTTATTTGAAAAATATGTCTGGACCACTTGACAAAAATAAAACTGAGTAAATGCATCACAACATTTATTTCAGTGTATGTTGTAAACTCAAGGTCGGTGCGAATTCTTGACATGATTTTATACTATGTGGAGACGCCGGGCCATATTTTCGTTAAAAACTCCCAGAAAAAAAATGGTTAAAGTCCAAAGTATGACCAAAATACTGGGGAGGGAAAAAAAGATGCTGAACTGTAAATATGCTGTGGTTGGCTGTAGTTTTGAGTTGCAATCTCCCCAATCACCTCTAGATGGCGTATATGAGTTGTGCTTCCACTGGGTCCTTACTCTGCTCTATACTATGTGGGTAGGCCAAATGATTTTTTGCCAATTTGAAATCATTTGCAGGACACACACACAAAATTTTGAGTGTGGTGATTTTTGTGGAAAAAAAAAAATTGAACAAAATGAAGTCTTGCACTTAACAGTAGTTTTGTGTCATCCTTGAATGTTTTTTATGCAAGAGAGCCCTTTGCACTGCACTGTAATAAAAAGAATTTTGTGCGGATGTATTCATATTTTTATTAAATCTTATATTAAATATTCAACTTTTATTTTAAATAAAACCTCTTAGTAAGTTAGCATTGGCTGCAAAGCAGGTCAGTATATTACACACATTACTGCCACCTACAGGTCCGGAGTGTAACACTAGTGTGTGAGTGTGTGTGGTGTGTGTGTGTGTGTGCATGCATGTATGTGCGTGGATCCTCACCGCAGTTGGCAAGTCTGAGTCTGGACAGCAGGCTGCGTCCTCCACCGTCCTCGATGCAGCGCAGTTCCTGGGTGTCCGCCTCCTCTCCCAGCCACAGCTTGATCCACAGTGCAGTGGGTTTGCTGTCAGGATCCTATATATATACACACACACACACACACACACACACACACACACACACACACACACACACACACACACACACACACACACACACACACAGAGCATATTTAATGCAGACAGTCAAGGACATACGAAAAGCAGAGCGAGACTAGAAAGTAGTTTTTTTTTCTGTGCAAGTTAAACAAGGATACACGATGTGCCAACTTGCATTCACTTTCTCATCTTCGAGCAGAATTATATTGCATAACACATCAGCGACAATGTATCATTTTACCTTGAATGTCCACCCTATCTAGCCATGAATTTACTCACATGTAGGAGATGTTGAGGTGTCGGAATATGGTCCAGGATAACGATGACAAGTTGTTGTCTTTCAGATTCCTGAGAATCAAATGGGATTTTAATTGTCACAAAGAAATTTCACAATAAGCCTTATTGAATCCAATCATAGTGATAGTTGTTTAGTGTAGTCTCAATCTGCAGCGGTAAAATAGTATTTCTGCAAACACTCAGGTTCACTTGGCTACTCAACTGCAGATGGGAGTAGGTATGTCAAACAATGTCACCGTTGCATTACAATTTCCGAAAAGGAAAATTGGGGTTCAAAATAAAATGTAAAGGGCACACTGGGCGAAACTTTTGATTAGCAATCCTCCAGAGAACAAAAACAAGGATGTACACAACATTGTGGGACGACCACACGTCAGACTCTACCAGAACGCTGACGACGGCGTAAGTGAAGGTAACTTGTTTACAACATGCAGAAAGACTCACACACACTCCAAAACACCTGAGAGACTTCTTATGTGCTTCGATAAGTGCTGCTGTTTTGGTTAGCAACAGAGTTATAACTCTTTAAAGTATGTGCTGTGAGAAAATTTAAGTTACTACCCATTTTTTTTTCTGATGGAACAGTACGTTTTTTTTTTTTAAAGTGAACTCTTTCCCCATCACTGCTACTTCAGTTAATTAGAAATCATTTGAGACACGACTAAAATGTTGGAAAGGTCTTTTTCTGTGTGACAATGTTGGACAGCATGCTAGCGTACCTTTTGAGGAAAGATTTCAAAAGCTATCATCGAAATGACTCAGAGGTGAGGTTGTTCATACTTACAGATATTGTAATTTGACGTTGTTCTGAAAGGCCAGCTTGGAGACGTACGTCAGCCTGCTGTTGGTCACCGTTCTGACACATACAACAAACATCATATTGAACACATTAGTAGAAAAGTGACTCCTAAAAAATAACTCTTGAAATACCCTTGCTGGGACACGCCCACTCAGATTGTGTCCAATCAGTGATTGTCATTTTTTTCCCTCCAGATCTGGTGGCCAGTCAATCCTTTACTCGCACACTTTACTGTGCGCTAATTAAGATGAGCCATTTAATGGACTCGTGTTTCGTGTTAAGAACTGTTTTCCACTCAACCTGTGAATGTGCTTTGTTGTTACTGGATGTACCTCTGCCTGCTTCGTTGGTTTTTTTCGGAGTTTATGTAAGGAATGTGAACTGGACTGAAATGTGAGTCACATCAGATGCTTTATTAAGCTGATTTCAGCCTCCACTTGTGAGTGTGTGTTTGGGTGTGATTACAGTCTGTGTCCAAGCGTTTTCCTGTACAAAACTACAGTGTAACTGTATTGTGATCAGCACACTTCATCTTGCTTGGCTTAGGCTCATTTTTAACACACACTCTAACCTGCAATTTTATAAGGTCCACCTCTCAAGCCCAGTAATGTGGTTTGTACCTCTGCCTGCATAAGATTTATTGGATTTGCTTTGGGTCTTGTCTAAATTGTGTGTTACACAAGACCTTTTTATGAACATAAATATGTGTACATTACTTTTTCCATTGTTCAGTTGCATCCATTGCCGATCTGCAGTGACTATACTGTATGTACAGGAACAGACACAGTAAATTTGGGTCTGGACTGTACTCTGAGTTACATGAAACACTTTTATGGAGTTGATTACCATTGTTTATTGTTGTCCACTTGGGTCCAATACCATGACTGACACAAAGTGGCAATATGTACAGGAACAGGAACAGACAGAAGTGTCTTCCCATGCAGAAATCTCTAACTATACACCAACTGGAGTATGATCGACAAACTTCAAATCCCTTTTCAACATGCAAGCTCACCTGACATTTTATTAGGTACCCCTCTCCATCCTGTTTTGTACATCTGGCAGAGCAACAAGATTTTGTTTTTTAATTTGACCTTAATTTGGATCTTAAATGCACTGCAGTTTATACGAGACCTTGTTATTAAAGATGCCAATATCACTTGGTTCATTGCTATCTAAGTCACTCACTACGAGCGCCGGAGCAGGAGCAGCTTCACCTCTTTCAATACTGAATAAGAAAATATACAATAAAAATTTTAAAAGACATTAACAATGCAAATTCAAATACATTTTTTTCTGATTAAAAATCTATCCTTTTGTGTCCTGCTATTCCTCACTCGCATTGTGGGTGTGCTGGAGCCTATCTCAGGTGACCTCAGAACTCTGCGGCGCATGTGCTACGCCGTACAACCTCAAGTGAACCCTATGCATTATAATAATTTCAGCACAATAGTGACCTTCATTAAAAATGTTCCAATAGACTCACAGGTTCCTGAGGTTCTTGTAGTAGTGCAGGTCCTTGTCGCTGATGGACGAGAAGGTGCTCTGGTTGGCAATGTAGCTGTCGGGCGATACAAACAGCGTGTCAGATGGCCGCCTCATTTGTTCAGGCAGGCAAACATTCCCGAGCGAGACAAAGCGCTGCTGATAAAGGTAGCATAATTACCAGTCGACGTGTAAAAATGAACGTGGGGAGGACAGATGCATGCATGCATATAAAGCACAAAGAAAAGCCTAGCGGACACTTCTTCAGAAAAATCGAGAGCATTTGGGGTGAGTCAAACCCATAAAGAACCTCTTACTGTTGACACTTGAGAACACTCTGTACGGATCAATGTCAGAACATAAAGAAAATAAATGTTCTTGTCCCTTTTATGTACTCACAAGGGCATCCGAATAGTAAGCGACCACAGTGAGAAAACAAGTCATTCATTTCAAATGCTTACTGAACATAGTACGTGGATATGATTAAAAGTCCTATTAAGGCATGTTTAGTAAATATCACGACGTGCTCGCTGCATGCTCACTGGTCACATCATTAGGTACACCTTTAGAGTCTAATCCAAAGTGTAAAGAGTTAATATGCTGTAAACCAGACGTGACTCCCCCCCCCCCCCGAGTGTGTACCATTGTGACTTTTTGTTCATTTTTTTAGTTGCTATGCAGTTGCTGTGGCTCTTTTTGTGCATGCTTTGCATATTTATTCTGTCATAAAGGCTTGATGTCTCACAGTATATAAACGTGGATTACTTAGTGACAGGTTGTCAGTACGTCGCACTTTTGACTGGAGTGTCAGCTCTTCCGTGTCTTCTGCATCCAGCCCTGCTCTCTGTATTTACTTTGTATTTTCACGATAAAGACTTTTACGATTCAACTTTCGTGTCATGTTGGCTCCTGGGTCCTAATTCCGCTCCTCACGTGACATGGACTGTGAGAAGGGAAGGGAAGGGAAGAAGTGGGTGCACGTTTTTAAAATTTGGGAAACAAACACTGTAGATAACAACAGCACACCCCAGAGAACGCCTGGATTTTGTTAAGCATTCCAAATCGCAAAAGTACAATTAACAGCAATGATTCCAAAATGGTACTGCGCAAGTTTAAGAACATGATGCTGGCCAGCCTGGTACAATAATTTCCCCCCAAAAGATCTTGGCAATCAAAGGTTTTGATGTTGTGCAGATGAGAAGTGGGTGCACCAACTCCGCTGGTATGTTGAAGGAGACGTATGGTTCAAAATTTGGGGAAATAGTTATTGAGCATACCCCAAAACACCAGGTTTTTGTCCACTACGTCAATTTGAGAATTCCCAAAATGTGGCATCCAATCAGGAGGTGCGGGAGATTGAAAGGGATTCTATGATAATTACATACTTACATATTTTCCCCAAGTTTGATTGGCTATATTTACGTATGTTAAAAAAAAAAAATGGTGGCATTTTTGAGGGTGATTGCAGGGGATAAAAGAAGCTGACCAACTGGCAACGGGTGGATATGCACACTGGCCTTTATGCTGCAGAGGAGAGAGTGGCTGATGAGGTGAAGACTGGCAGGTGTGTAGGTGAGACAGGTGCAATGATTGGGGAGACGCCCAGCCCACACTGAATTAAGGAAAAGGCAAAAAAAACAATAGGGGGAGGGGCCACACAGTGGAACACTGTTGGACAGACATAATGGATTCTAACAAGAAGGGGGTGTGCCAACATATTGAAGAGGGTAAAATAATTTGGGGAAGGCTGCTGTGGATTGATGACAGACCACAGAGGACAAATGGAATTTCATATGCATTACAAAATGCATTTGCACGACTTGCCTGCAGCGGGGTGAGCAAAAATAAATGGTCTGGTATAATAATCACCCCACCCCCCCCAAAAAAAAAATCTTAGTGTGATGCTTTTATATGGATGAGAAGCTGCTTTAAGTGTGTGTGTGTGTGGCAGAGAGGTGGTGCTCCAACTCTGCTAGGATGTTGACGAAGGTGCTTGGCCTAACAAGTTTGGGGAAGGCTACACAAAAGCAGAAAAGCTATTTCCAAACTGTGGTACATGAGCAACAATCTAATGACTGTATATAATACACTATGTCTTAAAAAGTTCGGGAAAGACGACGGAACGGGGCAGTTAAGGACAGTGATGAACCAGCTGAAATGATCAGCACTTGGAATCAGAGCCCACATGCCCATATATATAATCCTAAAGCAAATTAAAACAATGTAAATAAGATGAGTAATGAAATACAAACAACAAACTCCAAAGGACCCCTCCAAGGCCTTGGATAATAAAGACCCAGTGTTTATCTCCGACATAAGGTGACCACCGACAAGGCCGTTTATCTTGTGCCAAGTCCGATAACGGCACCCAATCTCTGCTTGAGACGCTTACACCAGTTTACATAACCTGTGATGACGCTTGTCCAATTGATTTACCATTTTTGATCAGTGATAAATTGGTCGATCCCGATCGGCACAAAACACGTTCTTTTTCTCTCCCTGTCCGTCTGTCTCTTGCACTGTCAAATTGATTTTTATTCCTCATCTCTGTTGGCGGACTTCATAAATAGACAATCACAGCCATCCAGAGTCTGTGCTAATATTTGGACAGTCACAGTACACACTGCCCTGCTCATTTCAATTTATACAGATAAAGCAGCAACATCTGAAATCATCCATTTTCTATAGCGCTTGTCCTCATTATGAGGTCGCGGGTGAGCTGTAGCCTATCCTGACTTCTGGTTATAGTGATCGTTTTTACACCCTGGACTGGTCGCCAGCCAATCGTAGGGCATATAGACAAAACACCACTGGACAATTTCGAGTCTCACATGAATCCAACATAAATGGTTTAGATACGTGGGAGAAACCTGCTATACCTGGAGAAAAAAAACATCCAAACATGTTGAGAGCCCGCTAAATCCACAAAGGAGTCGAGATTCGAATCCCGACCCCCAGAACTGTGAGCCATTCGAAACCATAATGCGTTAAACGACATCGAGCCGGTTATGCAATGCCGGTGCCTTGTTACATGCCTTTCAATGTATACAGACACTTCTAAAAAATAGGATATAAAGGCATCAATATACATATTTGCTTGATTGCTCTGGCTGCAGATGTCAGCTGCCAGAAGAGACGCGGATAGGTATTTGGAGGAATACGATAATGCGTTAAACGACAACGAGCCTGTTATGCAAAGCCGGTGCCTTGTTACATGCCTTTCAATGTATACCGACACTTCTAAAAAAAAAGGGATATAAAGGCATCAATATACATATTTGCTTAATTGCTCTGGCTACAGATGTCAGCCGCCAGAAGAGACGCGGATAGGTATTTGGAGGAATACGCACGAACAACCCGAAAAAAAAGCTCTCACATGTCCGTGATGTTCTCCATCTCCGCCTCGCTCTGCAGGGTGGGAAAGGTGGCGATGCCCCTCTCCGGGTCCACGCACGAGATCCTGGTGTTGCTGCAGGCGCAAGAGGACGGGCATGGCTCGGCGGACAGCCGCAGGTCTCCGGAGCCCACCGCCAGCCCGGCCACAACCAGCCACAAGCACAACATCCAGCCATTATAGCTACTCCGCGGCGTTTGGGACCACCCAGCCCCACGAACGCCGGTTTTATGTGCGCGCATGTCGGGTTGCAAATCTCAGCCAAGGCGCGCCGAGCAGCACCCACGGCCCGCGCCCAGGGCGGATG